GACGGTTCATCAAGTGATCGAGAGGTGGAGGTTGCCGTGGAGTCGCCTTCCTTTGAGATATTGCAAGCTGAAGCTTTTGGCAGAGGCCTACGTGATCAGACTGCGCGCTCCCATCGCGCGTGGTCCTGTGATCTTTCAGGTGAAGCTTCCATTGTTATGGATGGTGTGCCAACTGCGAACATTGGTTGGAAGGGCCACGACACCCTCTCACAGTTGCTCAATGAATCCGCCAGGACCTGTTTGCACAAAGAGAATTATCAGAGCTGGATCGTCGATGGGGTGACGCTCCACTTTCGGCAAGCCGGGCTTCGGCCGACTTATGACTGCAGCTTGGAGCGCTCTACATGGTTCCAGATGGAGACAAACTTCCGTGTGGTGTGCCGTGGCTTCTTCACTCGCAGGTTTGCCAGAAAGCGCCGTGCGTCCATTGCCCGTGCACGATGAGCTGGCATGTTGGGGGTACCATACCCCTGGAAGGCCTGACCTTGGGCTGCTGGCTTCGGCTGATGTGGCGGCTATCTTTTGTGGCCGATCGTCTTCCTGGAATGGTGATGGTCGACTAAACTTCCAGGCCTCTGCAGCTGTAAAATACTTTCTTTGCGCATGTTCATGCAGTTTGACATGTCGGCCTGCGTTGTTGTCCTGCCTCATGAGTGATTTGCAAGGGCTGTCATGACGAACTGTGAGCTTCGACTCTGCAGTTCACTTTCGGTGTGCTGCTTCAGATCTGCTGAACTTGCCGCGATTGCAGGTTTTGAGGCTCCTTCTGCTAGAAGGGAGAGATCAGGAGCAGACCACTTGACGGCTAGGGAACAGTGCCGCTCCTCATGGAAACGACCTTGACCCGTCGAGCAGTCTGGATCCATGAAAGCTTTGAGTTGCATCGGCCTCATGTCTCATTCCGCACCGCTGAGTTTGCTCATCGTGCCGCTTTTGAAAAATTTCATGAAAACCTCCAGAAGTCCCAGGAGCCGTTGGCCGAACAATTGAACCGAGAGGCCTGGGCTCGTCATGACATTTGCGAGGATGATGCTGCTTCTCTGACGCCTTCGGAGTCTGGAGATGCCGGTGAGGAAAGGGCTCCTCAGATCATCTTTGCTAGTCTTTCGGATGAACGCAAGGAGGCTTTGGCTGCCGGGTGCAGCCTGACAGCACCGACGCGAATCATGCATCGCGCTCCTTCTGGGCGCAAGCGCCCGGCGAGTTCCTCCAATTCGGACCGAGGCCATGGTCATTGGCTGCGCGGCCTCAGTGGCCGTCTTGATGACGTCGAGGGCTTCTGTGGGTCAATTATCGACAATAATTTCTCTCGTAGCCTTCATGCTCGCCTCCTCCGTGTGGAGCGACTGCTGAGTGTGCCCGAACCTTCTAATCCATTAGGGCATTCTCCGTGAGATGCATGCAGCTAGCAAACCAGCACTGGTGCCGCTTGCCATGAGAAATCTTCAGAACTGCTTGTCTGCAGGAACACTTGTGCTTCTATCAGCGTCGTGCCTGTGCCTGTCAGGTCTTGACGGTTTTTAGCCGTTTGCAGGATCCTAGACCTCCATAGCATGCCGCGGGCACTCTGCATTCGCGCTCCGCAAGGTGCGCCTGCCTGTGCTCTCCCGCTTGCTGTGCAGCTTTAAGTTCTTGCAAATTGCCGAAAAGTGGGGCTTAAGTTCTTGGCATTAGGGTAATGGAGTTGCTGCGTGCCGAGCAGCATCAGAAGAAGAGACCCAAGCATGCTTGGGAGCAGGAGCCTCGGGGCATTGCGACCTTTACATCGGTCTCGATGGGGCCTCATTCAAGTTGGGCCGTTCTGAGCACATGCTTTGGGAGCTCAGGGCTCAGCAAGGATTGAAGCAGGTTGATGCGATCGAGAATGTGAAACTTCCAGTGCTCCCATACGCAGCTAGGAGGGCGAAGATGATGGATTGGCCTGAGATAGCTGATGATATGAAGAGGAAGTCATTGCACCTTGTTAGGATCATGGTGGAGTCTGATTTCCACGCCACGAAGCTCGGGACCATGCTTTACGAGCTTAGCGGGAGCCTCGACAAGGAACCTCAGATCCAAAGGACCATCGAGCTCACCTTTGCCAAGAAGGCCGCTGCTACCCTGCATAAAAGGACTCTGGCATTTTGGAAGATGTTCGTGTTCCACGTGGATCGGGGCCACAAGTCGGGGCTGCATATGAGCGAATCCAGCATCTTCTTGTACTTTGAGTCGCTGCAGGGTGGGTCTGCAACTGCTCCTCAAAGTGCCCTTGACTCGATATTCTTCATGCACACCCTCCTGGGCATTAAGGCGCCGATAGAGGACCTGGTGTCGCATCGCATCCGGGGATTGGTCCACGAGGCTGCCATAACGAAGAGACCCTTAAAGCAAGCGAGGGGGCTCACGGCGGAGGAAGTGCGATTTCTTGAGAAGCTTGTGGCGAAAAGCCCAGACACGGCCGTTGTGTGCATTGCAGGGTTCTTCCTCTACGCACTCACCAATAGCGCAAGGTGGGGTGATGCCCAGGCATCCACCTTGCCAACCATCGATGTCTCGGGGTCGCGGCCGGTCCTGAGTTCTGGGACGCTTCGGCACAAGTTGGCCAGCACAGCTGAGAGGAAGACCACCTTGCTTCCTTTTGTGGGGTTTGGTCAACTGATCACAGGAACTGCCTGGGCACCGAAGTGGCTTGACGCCATGAAGAGGGCACGCCTGCCTAGGACTGGTGTGGACTACATGCTGCCCTCGTGGAATGAATCTTCCAGCCAATTCATCCGGAGGCGGATGACGAGCGGGGAGGCCACTCTCCACTTGCGCGAGATCCTTAGTCAGATGGAGCATCCGCCGCTGCAACCTTTGCCATCGTCGCATAGCTTGAAGGTGACGCTGCTGGCTTGGATGTGTAAGTCAGGGCTCTTTTCCTTGTCCGAGAGACAGATCATTGGGCATCACCTTGATCGGCCAAGCACCAGCGCACTTACCTACGGGAGGGCTAACTTCGTGGGCCCTTTGGGGAAGGTGGCGGGCATGCTTACAAAGATCCAGGATGGGTCTTTCAGGCCGGATGCTTCTGCGGCTGATCTGATTGAGCAGCAGCTTCATCAGGAAGAGGTGGCATCGGACGAGTTGGAAAGGAAGCTGCATGGTGCTCCCTGTGCCTGCGAGGACAGTGCCTCAGATGACATGGGGCATGATGATGCGGATCAGGCGGTGTCTGCAACGGTGCCGGCGGCTGAACGCCGCATGGTGGAGGCTCCTGACCCTGATCAGTATTTGGTCCACTTGTCCTCGGGCACGCTTCATGCATTGGACCCGGATTCTGATAGATTCCGATGTGGGAGGCCGAAAACACCGAATTACGTCAGGCCGAAGGCTTCCACTTCAAGCCCATACCCCTTCTGTCTGGTGTGCCAGCGTGCACAGGACGCAGGGGGTCAGGCAGCGGCTGCGAGCTGAACTGTGTCAGTGTTACTTGTGTCTGGGAGCTAATGCAGGACGGCATCGCAAGTGAAACTTGTAATGCCTCCATGTTGGGCCGTCGAGCCTGGCAAGGTTTTGTCTGCATCCTCCCTAGTACGTGAGCCCTACACAGCCGACCGAAGTGTGAACAGCAGCGAAGCCCGGGCTTGCCCGAAGATAAGCTGCTTGGGGACCGCGCCGTCGTGCCGACCAAACACCTTCGGGGCTGGGCTTATATCTGGCAGCGAAGCCCGGAAAGATTCTGAAGATGAGCTGCTGGAATTTTTGGGCCGTCGTGCCATGGACGGCCTCTGGGAGTCTCGCAGCTCGGAGTCCGGTGTACACCCATTTTGGCGACACACTCCACGGTCGCGAGACCGTGCGGGCTTTTGCGGCAGAGGCGGGCAAAGGGTCAAACTGGCAGCAATCATGCTATACATCCTTGCTTCAGTAGTTATCCAGCGTACATTCGTGAGGCTCGCTTCGAGAAGGAAAACTTGAGGCACATCAGCACAATGGCGCAAGGGCTGTATGGTAATCAAGCGGTTGGAAAGTGGGCACAGGAAGCTTCGCTGCACCTCCGGAACATGAGTCGACCAGGACTGTGCAGGTGAACCGCCACTTCCAGGCCCATTGATGGAAGCCATACCACCTGGCTGACAACGTATGTCGTCGCCCCCCCCCCCCCGACAGAACAATACTCGGTTTGAGGTGCAGGGCTGCAGGCGAACAAGCATGGACAACCACCACTGAAACAACACGGACGCGCTGCCCCTCTGAGGCAGCCACAGAAATAGTCGAGGCTCCAGCGGCATCCTAACTGCAAAAGCAGGAGCGGAGCATGCAATCCGCGCTTCTCCCTCAGTGGGCCATTTGCATCCCTCAAAGGAACATCGCATTTAAAAAATCCTCTGGCAGGAGGGCTACCCAAAGGCTCTTCGATTGATAATTATCGATCGAACGCTCGAAAATATTGTATTTTCTATCTACGCTCGAAAAACCTTTTTAAGCTATGCAAATCAGTCGAACAACTGGGTGGTTCGCTCGATTCCTCGATTGAATTTACATGAAACTTCGCTCGATTCCTCGATTGAATTTACAACTCCACCGCTCGATTCTTCGCTCGATTCCTCGATCGAATTTCAAGTGACCAAAGTGTATATTGTTTTCCCCATATATCGTTCATACTTTTCTACTCTGTATATATATATACATATACATGTATATAGAGGTGTATATATATGTATATATATATATATATATATATACACATATATTTATAGATGCATATATATATATACACACACACACATATATATATATATATATATACATATATATATGTATATATATACATATACATATATATATATATATATGGTGTAATATAATATATAATGTCTGGACAGACATTATTTGTCATGTTGTTTTATAATAGTAATCTTATGAATGCCTGGACAGGCAGCAAGAGCAAGTCATGATTACGAATGCCTGGACAGGCAGCAAGTGCAAGTCATGATGTATATACCGAACCGAAGTTTTTCTTCAAGGATATCTAGCACCTCGAGCGAGCCATGGAAACACCTCCGAAGAGGACTCGAGAAGCTGCAGACAGCACGCCCGAGCACGCCGAGAAGAAGAGGAAGAAAATGGATCAGTTTCCAGCACATGTGTTGGCGATGATCGAAACTCTCTCGCACATGGCTGTGAGGGCCACGAACCTGGCGAACTCCCTGATCGTCGAGTCCCATGAGCCAGAGAATCCAGACGATGCTGTGACTTTGATCTTGGGACACCTCGACGACATCGACGACCGGATTCGGGCTTTGGACGAGGAGCTTGAACAGATCGAGAACATGAACTGATGTAGATACAGGGAGTCGCCGAGCTGTAGCTATAGGTGCAGTTTTGGAATCTGAGTGTCTGCCAAAAGAGCATGGAGGAAAGGTGGAACCCGGGAAAAAGCCGACGTCGTGCCTGCACGGAACTGGCCAGCGGATCAGAAGCTGCTGGTTGCGCTCATGTCCAGGTCTCATGTCCGTGGACTCGCAGGCGGCCTTCAGGGCGGAGGCGATTCGCCTCGGGGTGTCTGAGGCGCATGCCGACTTGCTCATCACGAAGGGCATCCGCACGCACTCGCTGTTCGCCTTCATCTCCAGCTACCAGCCGGGTGCCAGTGACGAGAAGCCGTTCGTGGATGCCTTGGTTGCCAAGCTTGGTGAGGAGGCTAAGGATTCGTTACCGGCCTTCCGGCACTTGTTCTACACAAGCCACACGCTCGCGGTCCAGGAGCTCAAGGACAAGCTTGAACCTCGCGAAGAAGCCAAACGCCTCTCTATGGCAGACAGAGTGGATCGCCTAGAGCGGCTCAAGAAGGCGCTGGTGGGATTCACGATTGACACGTGGTTGGAGCCTAGCCACTCCTTGGTGGACAAGGCCGTTGGCTTTGCGGAGGAGGGGTGTCTGGGACCTTTGGAGCTTTCCCGCTGCACGTCGCGGGAGGCGGAAATGAGGTCAGAAAAACGTGACCCGGAAACCTTCCGCTTGGAAAAGCTGAACATCAAGGTCACGAAGCCCCCCACGACCTTGACAGCTGACACGTCCAGTGATCTACATGTTCGGACTTGTATGCAGCGTCGTGCTCTGGCATTCCACATGGCCGGCATTGCTACGTTCGTGGCGCTCGATAAGATCATCTCTCGCTTCTTCGGCTACATGATGCGCCCAGTGTACCCAGGACAGCAGCCGGTGACCCTGAGCCAGGTCGTGGACGCCGACAGAACGCTTTGGGTCTTGGTTGCGCAAGAGACTCGGGGCAAGGTCCTGACATCCGGGACCCCATTGCCGATTGATGCCGCTGTGGACGCCTTCAAGGACGCTCCAGACGTTGCTTTTGCCTTGATGCCCCGCACTAAGGGGTCAGTGCCTCCGCCTCCGAAGCCGTCTCCGACCGCTGGAGCTGAGGCGATGAGCCGTGCCAAGCGCCGCAGGCTTCAGAAGGCGGCCAAGTCCAAGCCGATCGCGGATTCAGCACAGCCCAGCAAGCCGTCGGCAGGAGGTTCGAAGGGAGGCGGCAAGGGCATTGATATCCCACCGGGGGCGAAGACTCGCGATGACCAGGGCAGGCCAATCTGCTTCCGTTACAATCGCAAGGCTTGTGACCAATCCAAAGAGAAGTGCCAGCGCGGCTATCACGTGTGTTGGTTCTGCCTGAAGAACCACGCAGGGGTGGACCACAAGGAGTGACTAGGGGCACAGGCCGTGCTTGGGCCCTCCGGCACCCAGGCCATAGCTTTTGGACCGGAAAAGTTTTCCGCAGTGGGGCATTCTCCCACCGACCTTCACTGCGCCGAAGCTCTTGCAAGTTCTTTCAGCTCTCCGCCTACGGCGAAGCAGCTCCTTTCACTTTTGGATGTGCTGCCACCTGAAGTACCTGCCCGCGGACGACCGGGCGATTTCTCGTGGACCACGGGATCGTGGTCGAAAGATGGTTGCTACGGCCTTCGCCGCCACAGCCACATGTTTCCGACGGTTACCTCTGCCCTGACGGCGTATGTCCGAAGCATTGCTCCCGAGCATACCTTTACAGCGGTGGCACTTTTTGCAGATCTCCAAACAGCGCCCCATCGTGATGTGAACAATGCCGTGGGGGCTCCTAACCTCTTGCTGCCGCTTACTGAGTTCCAGGAGGGTCAGGTCTGGCAACATCACGAAACGGGGCCTTCCTGGCAATGGGTCGAAGGTCTCCATCTTCCCGGTGTGCTTTTGGATGTTTCCAGAGGCCCTTGTTACTTGGACTCCCAGGCCTTGCACTTCACACTTCCATGGCGAGGCAAAAGGGTTCTCGTGGTGGCTTTCACGCCTCGCTGCAACGACCAAAACTTCGACTTTGCACAGCTTGTGGCGCTAGGCTTCAATGTGGGTCAGGCGGGCCCGTCCCCGCCTCAACCTTTACGACAACATCTCGAGCTCTTGGGCTTCAAAATCCAGTTGCCACCGTGTGACCTACATGCAGTCAGCTTCTCCTGCGAAGCTTCCGAGGCCTTAGCAGTCGAGGCCTTTTGTGGTCGTGGGCGCTTGTCCGTGGCACTTCGTGATCAAGGCCTCAGTGTTCTTCCAGTTGATCACCGCGTTCGCTGCACTGATCTACAAGTTCTTCGCCTTGACCTTCAGGATGATCATGATGCTTCCATCTTCTTGGAGATGCTCTCCACGGCTAATGTTTGCTTGGCTCACTTCGGGCCGCCTTGCGGCACCTCAAGCAAGGCCCGCGAGCTACCGTTGCCTCCGGAGCTTTCGCATCTGCAGTCTTCCCCGCTACGATCCTTGGCATCCCCCTTTGGTCTGGATGGACTTCGGCCGTCGCAAGCAGCTCGAGTCCATTCGGCCAACAAGCTCTATGTGCTCACCTTGGTCTCGATCTGGATCCTGCATGTACGCGGCGCACTGGTCAGCTGCGAGAATCCTTCGTCTTCTTTGTTCTGGCGGGTGGCCGATCTCCTGGCACAAGATCTGCCGGACCCTGCGGCTTGGCAGGTGTTGGAGGATGTTGCATTCCATGCTTGCATGTGGGGCTCTACTCGCAAAAAGCGTACCACCTTTCGCGCAACTCCGGGCCTCTGCAGCGGCTTGCGGCGCGATTGCGATGGTTCTCATGAACATTTGTCGTGGACACCGACTGCAACACCTTCCGGTGTTGTCTTCCCGACATCAGGCGAAGCCGAGTACACCAAGGAGCTGGCGGCTGCGTATGCCGCCTTTTCTCTCCGTGCTCTTCAACTTCGAGGACTCCGCACAGAACGCTCTCATGTGGGCCCCGGAGTCCTTCGGCCTCGGGATCTGCGTTCCTTCACTCGTAAGAGGGTGCCACCGCTTCTTGCAGAGTATTGGCTTGTGGCTCCCCGCGACTGCGTACCACCAGAATGGCCTCAACGACCCCTTCCAAAGCATGTCCTTTTTCCGAAAACGGGGGACGAGGTCATCACAGTATCTTCGGTCGCTGAAGTTCGGGCTTTGGAAGCGACTAATGCTGTCAAACCGTCAACATTGGTGGCTCTTAAGGCAGTGGCGGCGACTGGCGCCGAACCAATGGTTGGGGTGCTTCGACGACCCCAACAAACCGTGCTGGCTACCAGGTGCTTGTCCCACCCGCTTGAGCTGAATCTTCCTTTGCCGGACATCCTTGTGAAGGCCGTCGTGAACGTCCTCAGAGTAGGACCTCGGGGCATTGCTTTCCATCGTGCTACGGTCTTGCAGAAGCTGCTGGTCAGGGCGGAGGCGCTCAAAGATCGTGAACGCGAGCTACATTGTGGCTTGCATCCGGATCTTCGTAAAGTTCTTGCGGGGAAAAACACCTTATTATGGGAGCAGCTTCTGAGGGAGTCTCACTTTCCCGATCTGGGCCTTGTCGATGAGGTGAGGGGAGGCTTTGAACTCGTGGGTCCGGCGAACTGCTCTGGAGCCTTCCCCATGGCTTACAAGCCGCCGCAGCAGTCAGTGGAGAAGCTCATGCAGCAAGCCGTGTGGCGCCGGAAGAACACCATCTCCAAGTGCAAGCCGACTGGCGATACGGCTGCAGACGACGAGCTGTGGTCGCAAACTCTTGGTGAGGTCGAGCAGGGCTGGATCGATGGTCCTTATTGGGCTGAGAGCGAAGTCAGTGAGAGGCTCGGCAGCGCCGAGTGGATGTGCACCAGGAGATTCCCCATCGTCCAGGGGCCGAAGGTTCGCATCATAGATGACTGCCTTCAGAGCGGTCTGAACTCGGCTTATGCGGCATACAACAAGCTCAGGTTGATGGACGCTGATGCGTTTATCTCCCTGGTTCTCTTGCTTATCCGATGCTCGCACCAGCCCGGCAGCATGATTCAGCTCGATTCAGGGGAACAACTTGTGGTGAAGAGACACCCCGAATGGGGCGACGGCCTGGATCTTCTCGGCAAGACTTTGGATCTCTCCGCAGCTTACAAACAACTGGGCTGCCGGCCCGATACAAAGTTTAATCGAGTGTTAGTCGCTTGGAGTCCAGAACGCCGTGCGCCGGCGTTCTTTGTGTCTACCGCCCTGATGTTTGGAGCGTCATCGGCAGTCTTTTCCTTTAACCGCTGCTCGGCATCCCTGTGGCATCTGGCAGTGACGATGGGTTCAGTCTGCTGCACTGTGTACTTCGATGACTTTCCTTGTGCGGAACCATCGGCCTCGTCGGGCTCAGCGCAGGACTTCATGGTGGGGCTTCTGTCCACTTGCTTGGGGTGGAACGTCGCTCTGCAACCTAAGAAAAACCAGCCCTTCTCTCAGACCTTCACCTTGCTGGGCATTGAGCTTTCATTGAAGACGGCGGACCAGGGCATCCTGAAGGTGCGCAACAAGCCGGACCGAGTCTTGGAGCTGCGTGCTGAACTTGACCGGCTTTTGTCACAGGGCTACATGAAGAGGTCTGAGGCGTCTTCCTTGCATGGACGCTTGAACTTCGCTCAGGGACAGCCATCAAGCCGGCGCTCAAGTTCTTGTCGCAGGTGGCGGCCAACGGCTGGGATGATGCCCTGGCCGACGATTTCAAACTTGTGATTGGCTACATCGCAGCTTGCTTCGCTACGGACTCCCCGAGGGTGATACATGCTCTTGATTCGCGGTATGCCATCAAGCTCTTTACAGATGGCGCATGGGACAACAAAATCGCTGGTGCGGGGGCTGTTCTCCAGTACGCCTTGGACCAGGGACCGAAAGTGGCGGAGGTGGTCGTTCCAGAATGCCTTATCGAGCACTGGGGCAGGCATGGCGGCACTCAGCTCATCTCGCAGCTGGAGCTCTTTCCCGTGTTGGTGTCACTGGTCAGCTGGGGCCCCCAGTTGGCGGGCAGGCGCATCCTGGCTTTCATCGACAACAACGGCGTGCGCGACTCCTTGATCAAGGGCTCTTCTCCGCTTCCCGACCACTTCGTCATGCTTTCGATGATTGCCTGGGTGGCTCGGCGGTATCACTTCACGCTGTGGTTCACTCGTGTGGCATCAGAATCTAACCCTGCAGACAAGCCGTCTAGATCGCGAGCGCGGGAGGCTGCTGAAGAGCTCGGTGGATCCCTTGAGCTTCCCTTGACCTTGGATGACATTCTTGTGAAAGGATTGCTCAGCAAGCGGTCCTTCATGGATATGTGCCAGGGGTCAATGCCGTTCGGTGATGGGGAAAATATGGGAGAGAGACTGTGGCAGTGATCGGTATGCCTTCGTGCAACCATCATGTACCGCCTTCGTGCGGGTGTGTGTGCATTGCTACCTCTGGTCTCTTGTGATTCCCGTCGCGTGGCATTCGAAGTTGGGCAGCAGCATCATCCCCTTTTGCGATCAAAATGAAGACGGTCCGAGTGATTGAGGCAATTTGATATGCTTTGAAAATATTCGATGTCCCATATATCAATTGGGAAATACTGACTTGATTGCGAAGTAGATTGAACCACGACCTTCGCGAAGCATCTATGTGCAAGTGCATCATGGTGTTTGTTGTGTTGGTGTTGGGGTTCAAGAGTAAGCCAACAAGACGGATAACCTCAACTTGTTGACGGTCCTGTCTTGTTTCGGCTTACCTCCTTGAACCCCCCCCCTCTGTGTGTGTGTGTGCGTGGGTGGATGGGCACTTGGTGCGTCGACAGTGACAAAACAAAACATTACGAGGAATCCTCTATTTGTAGTTGCGATAAAGAAGGAATTTATGTTTTATGTTTTCTTTTCATGTTTTCCTTTTTACAGTTCCATGTTGCTTTTACGTACATTCTGGAATGCAGAAGATTGTTGCAAAACATGGGCAGCACTGTGCTCAAGGAGCACAAAATTTTGTCTCACCCGCCCGCCCTCCCGGGAGAGAGACTGTGGCAGTGATCGGTATGCCTTCGTGCAACCATCATGTACCGCCTTCGTGCGGGTGTGTGTGCATTGCTACCTCTGGTCTCTTGTGATTCCCGTCGCGTGGCATTCGAAGTTGGGCAGCAGCATCATCCCCTTTTGCGATCAAAATGAAGACGGTCCGAGTGATTGAGGCAATTTGATATGCTTTGAAAATATTCGATGTCCCATATATCAATTGGGAAATACTGACTTGATTGCGAAGTAGATTGAACCACGACCTTCGCGAAGCATCTATGTGCAAGTGCATCATGGTGTTTGTTGTGTTGGTGTTGGGGTTCAAGAGTAAGCCAACAAGACGGCGAAGATCAATGGAGAGACCAAGGTGCTTTGCATGGCATACAGTACCCACAAAGGCTGCACTTCCAACAATTGCAAGTTTGAGCACCTTTGCCCCGTGATCCTGGAGAACGGTAAGATTTGCCTGCAGAAGCATCCGGCTTTTCAGCATGCACAAAAGGCAGGTGCATGAGGGGGACCGGGCCTGGACTATGCAGGCGAGGAAGGCCTGGTTCCAGTTGCTTTGCCTGCAGATGCTACAGGAGATGCTCCTTTTCCACAACCATGTGCTACCCCTTCGGAGCCCGTGGTACAGAGTACTCCTCAGAACTTTGCATGCTCTGTCTCGGAACTCGACTCAGGCTTTTTCCTGGACATCAACGGGGGGGCCCGGCGCCCTCTTTCAGCAGCATTTCTGGGAGCTGGCTGTGATACTTTCTCGGTCGCTCCCGAAATTTTCCCTGAACGTGACCTTCTACAAGACGAGTTCTTCTTTGCCTTGCTCAGGGTTTATCACTCTGGGCAGGTTGCCCTTTTGCACATCCTGCTTTGCGCCAGTGATTTCTCATCGATTCTTTTCGAGCGCATGATTCAGATAGCACACGCATGCTTTGCGGCGGGTTCTCATGTACTGCTTTCTCAGCACTCTAATTCTGCAGTATGGAGCCAAGCTTCGGTGATTTTTCTTTTACAGCAGATGGGTGCAGACGCTATTTTCTGGGACCCACAACGGTTTGGTTGCAACTTTGAAGGCTTTGGGCTCCTGGCTGCATCCTTTTCATCTTTGCAGTTTTTAGCCACTACATCCTCGACGGGGTCGTCAATGCAGGCCCATCGGGAATTCGACTTTTCTTCATTGAGTGCGGACTTTGTGCTCGCAGTGGCCGAGGGTTCTTTGCATCTTTTCGCTCAGAGAAGCCCGGAACCCAAAGATTTGCGGTTTGGCCAGATTCCTTTTCTGAGGCATGTCAAAGAGAGATTCGAGCCACCCTTTGCCAACCAGGATGGCGCTGGGATTTACTCGGTGCCTGATTGGAGTACGCCTCCGCCTGGTGTTCAGGATGTACTTTGCGATCTCAGGTCCAAACTTCGACAGTGGATCTTTGACGAAAAGATCCCACAACGTCTACAGGCCCATGCTTTACAGCACAGCTCAGAGCCACTCTTTCAGGAAGGTGAGATTCAGCATCTCAGACAGCTTTTCCAATCCTGGGTCTCGGAACAAGGATCATCACATGTGGTTGACTGGACGATTCCGGATCATCAACCTTATGCTTTGCATGCTTCGAAGTTCTTCTCGCAGTTTGTCAAGGACAAGGATGATACACTTTGCCAGTGCCTGCTTGATGGTGTTCCCACAGGATATGACAGTGACATCCCGCTTTCCAAGGTTTTCATACCACATCCGTCGGCACCGGAACTTGATCACCAGCTTTCCATTGCCAAGGACAGCTGGCAGAGTGCCAATAATGACCCGGATACTTTGCGGGAGCTGGTGCATGCTGAGGTCCAGAAAGGATGGTTGTTTGAGATGCCTTCTTTGCAGGCGGCGCAGGAGCGTTGGGGAGAGCGCGTTGCAGTAGGGAAAATGTCCCTTGTACTTTCTCCCCCGAGAGCTCCCAGGCTGGTGGTTGACTCCACTGTGTGTGGCACCAACGATGCATGCTCTATTCCTGAGCGCTATACTGTGCCAGGTCTACAAGATGTTCGAGATTGCTTTCCTTTACGCCTTCATGCAGGCCTGTGTGAAGGCTTCCATCTCGACGTCAAGGCGGCGCATAAAACGGTTCGGGTCAAAGAGGCGGACCAGGGACTGCTTGGTGTCACTTTACCGCGAGAAGAGGGTAAAGATGACAAACTTTTCTTTTACCGAGTTTGTCCATTCGGCGCAAACTTTTCTGCTTTGTGGTTTCAACGGCTGGCGGGTATGCTTTTACGCCTCATGCATCTCTGGATCTTTGTGCGCCATGCTCTCATGGGTTACGTCGACGATTGTCTTTTCATCCAGGACCGTGAGTGCATCCTTTATTCCGCGTCACTCTTACTTTGCTTTACATCTATATTCGGAGTGCCTTTGAGCTGGGCCAAGTTGCAATTGGGGAGTTGCATTACCTGGATTGGCTGGACATTCAACTTTACCAGCGGCTCTTTTCATATTCCGCAAGAGAAAGTTGATAAGCTTTTTAATTTGATCAAGGAAGCTACACGGTCCAGAAGGGTTACGAGTGCTTTGCTCCACAAGTTGGTGGGACTCCTACAGTGGTTCTGTCAGCTTTACAGATCGTGCAAACCTTGGCTCGCGTCTCTTTTCTCAGATCTGCATCGGCACTTGGCTTCCCAGTATAGCATATCACAGGGGCTCTGGCCTTCTTTGGCTAACTACCTAGATGATGATCTCCGCTTTACATCCGTACCTCCGGGTACTCAAGTTCCACTTGGAGGCAAGCTACTGGAAGCACGACATACAGAACTGAAAACAAAGCAAGACCTTTGCAAGGTACGTACTTCCAATCGGATCTGGATGCGGGTGACCAATCCCAAATCTGATCGGCGTTCTTTGTCACCAGCATCGCGGACCTTTCTTTCATTCTGGAGAGAATGGTGCCAAAGACCTCAGCCTTACACTGCTCTTTCTGTTCCGTTGCGACTCCAGGTTGAGGCCTTTGCGGATGCAAGAGCTGATGGCGAGCTTATTGGGATTGGCGGTTTTATTGCTTTCCCTTCTGGTGCATACATCTGGTTTTCTCAAGCTTGGCAACTTTCCGACCTGTCAGTTTTGGGTTTGGAACTTCGCCGACCCGCGCACAAAGATATTGCCTGTTATGAGACTTTGGCGCAGATTGCTTTGGTACATGCTTACAGGTCAGTATTTCCTTCGGGTCGAGTGGCAGTTCGCCTCCCCTCCTTTTCTGACAACGCCTCGACAGAGGCATTGGGTGCGAAACTTTACACCGCCAAGTGGCCACTGGGAGCGTTTGCCCAGAAACTTTCTCTCATATCCGCAGCTTCAGGTATCGAGCTGGATATTTCTCACATCGCCGGTGAGAAAAATGATGATGCAGATATGTTGAGCAGGTGGAATCAAACTGATTCTCTACCTGACAAATGGCGCAAAGAAGACCGGGTGGACTGCTCTCTCAAGTTCATCTGGTTCTTTCGCAAGGAGGTCCTGGTGTGGCCTTCCCACTTTTCTTTACCAGCGGTGACACAGGAACGACATGTGTCAGATGATGACATATGACAGTGCCCGCAGGATCTTTGCCCGGGGCCTTTATGCTGCTGCTTTGCGCCCGCAGGATATTTGCCCGGGGTGCAGCATGTGTTCCACCCGCAGGATGATTGCCCGGGGTGGCATGGTGCTGCTTTACGCCCGCAGGATGTGAAAGGGGTAGCAGCGTTATTTTTTGGTGTTTTCACGAGAGAGCGCGTCAAACCTCACTTTGAAAGTATTGCTTTTGGCGGAACATAAGTGCGCGACATTTGACTTTGACGGTTTGTTTTTAAAACGTGGTCCGAAACTTTCGAAGCTTCGTGTAGCTTACTTCTTTTTTTTTTTTTCTCTTGTTTTTTTTTTTATTTTTTTTTTTTTGTGGGGCATTTTTTGCTTAGCTTTGGCTCGGCAGCTTACAACTACTCTAGCGTTTACGGCAAACAAAGTCCAAAAGTCTATCTGCTAGCTTTGCTCTGTAAGATCCCTTAAGTACCGTCACCGTGCGGTTCCGAGTACGTAGCCTTCCGTTTGGAGCGGACGGTAGAACCGGTAGGTTCGTCTCGTAGCGTGTCATGGGTTAGGTAAAGTTGAACGTTTCATGTGTTTACTCATGGGTGTTTTACTTTACCATGTTCCAAACACAACATTTCGGCCCAAGACAAGCGTGCTTCAGCATAGCTTAAAGCTTCGCTCCATGCTTTAAAATTTTGACCCACCCGCCCTACCCTTTGTGATGTTGTATCTTAGCTGTTATCATAGCTTTTTATACTTTTCGTACTTTTGTTGCTTTACTATGGGCGAGGGGGGGTCTAAACTTTCGAAGCTT